CAAGAAGCAGTTTTCAACCTTTCCATGTGAAGAATCTTTAATCCAGCAAATCCACTTTCAGAAATTTGTTCTAATAATAAGAAAATATCCAAAATTACATGTATAAGGATGACCATTTCAGATTTCTTAATAGTGAAAAATCAAAAACAATTAGTAATATTCATTAATAGAATACTGGAATACCATACAAGTTTTAAAACAGATGTGCTAGATATGTGTGAACTGACAGAAAAGGGTGCTATTTCATGAAAAACTCATCAGCTAATCCTGTCTCCTACCTTGTAATTAAAAAAAAAAGTCTGACAATGAAAAAATAATTAACAATTCAATTTTTTCCGTCTCTAGAGGAAAAGCTAAAAAGAAATGCTACATTCTTAATAGATTATGAAATATCTTTAAAATCCTTTCTCCCCTTCTTGATCATTTTCAAGGTCCCCACATCAGCGGTTTTCAAACTTTGGAGTACATCAGCTTCACCTGCAAGGTTTGCTAAAACACACACTGCTGGGCCCCACCCCAGAGTCTCTGATTCAGTAGGCTTGGAGTGGGGCCTGAGAATGTGCATTTCTAACAAGTTCCCAGGCTGTTGGACTAGGGACCACACTTTGAGAGCCCAGATGATTGCAAAAGCTCATGGTTTTCTTGTGTTTGTGGGTGATATACAGAAACTCAAACATTAGAACTTTTGATTTTTTTTCTTTTTTTCTAATTTTTATTGAAATTCTATTTAGTTAACATAAAGTGCAATATTGGTTTCAGGAGTGGAATTCAGTGATTCATCACTTACTATGACAGTGCTCATCACATCAAGTGCCCTCCTTGATACTCATCACTGGGCAGCCCCTCCCCCACCCACCTCCCTCCATCACCTCGGTTTGTTCTATGTTTTTAAGAGTCTCTTATGGTTTGTTTCCCTCTTTTTAAAGAAAGGAGAGGAAAAAACAGGAGGAAGGCAGAGATTCCTCTAGGAATCTAAGGGAAAAGAAAAAGGAAATACTCCACTGCAGCCTAGCTGAAGGCAAAAGGTAGTATGTAAGGATTTCCATGCAGGTGAGGAAAGCAGAAATCCGGGACGCCTTCATTTAATTTTCAGAATAGGATTCCTGTCTAGGCATCAAAGAAAGAAGGCTGGAGGTGATGATTTGGTTACAACTTTCCTTCTTAAAACCCACTTTATTTTGATTTTATTTATTTATTTGAGAGAGAGAACAGAGAGAGTGGGGGAGGAGGAGCAGAGGGAGAGGGACAAGTAGAGTCTGTACAGCGCGCGGAGCCCCAAGTGGGGCTCAATCCCATGACCCTGAGATCAAGACCTGAGCCAGAATCAAGAGTCAGACATTCAACCGACTGACCCACCCAGGTGCCCCTTAAAAACCCACTTTAAAAGGACCCTTTTAATATTATGACTCTGCATCTTTGATTTTTCTTTTATGAAGATTATATTTCACTGTCTCTGTAAAATTGTATTCAGTTTTTATTCATAAAACATATGCATTGGGGCACCTGGGTGGCTCAGTCGGTTAGGTGTCTGCCTTCAGCTCAGGTCGTGATCCCGGGGTCCTGGGATTGAACCCTGCATCGGCCTCCTTGCTCCGTGGAGAGCCTGCTTCTCCCTCTCCCTCTGCTGCTCCCCATGCTTGTACCCTCTCTCTCTGTCAAATAAGTAAATAAAATCTTAAAAAATATATATATATGCATCATACAATTGAGAAACAAGTTGCCAGTTCAGAGTCCGTTTACCATAGACGTCTCTCCCTTTATTCTTGCTAATATTCTCAACTCTGCCACCACTCTGCAAATCCCCAAACTTGTGTCAATATAATTATCAGCCCTCTTCAATTCTGCACCTACTGCTGAGCACTGCTGGGGAAGGTTATACTACCATGCTTATAAACTTTTTCTCCCAGGGAAAAGAGCAGGAAAGCAAGGTAGACTTCTTCCCAGAAGCAGGGGTATTGTGTGAAGAACACCTGAGGATGGGATGCCTGGGTGGCTCAGTCAGTTAAGCGTCTGCCTTTGGCTCAGGTCATGATCCCAGGATCCTGGGATTGAGTCTCAAATCTGGCTCCAGCAGGGAACCTGCTACTCACTCTGCCTCCCTCTCCCCCTGGTTGTGCTCTCTCTCTCTCTCTGACAAATAAATAAGTAAAATCTTAAAGGAAAAAAAAAGGAACACCTGAGGAGCAGAGTGTGATGGAATTTTCTTTCCATGACATCTCAATCTATAGCAAAAATAAAAATAATATGATGCTGGTATAATCTGATTTGTTGTGAAAGCTAGTAGGGGGTTCTCAGTTTGTCCTGAACTGATTCGGTTTTAAAGATAAAAAAGAGAGGATTAAATAAAGTCTAATTTTCAGAGATTGTGGATTGAACGTTAGATTCACCCAGGTTATGAATTAATTAGGAGTTTGAACCCAATTTTGTCTCAGATTCTGACAGGGGATCACCTCCAACAAGTGATTCATAGGTAACTTATAGTTCCATACCTCTCCAAACTTACACTTTTCAAACTGCACTGGGTCTTATATAGCATTATAATATAGTATAACGTACATAATATAAGGCATATTATAGGGTACTGCTTGTATTTTTATGTTTAATTTCCTGTTCCTTCTTCCTTCTATAATTAAACACCAACCCTTTTCTTCAACTCATAGAACCTGATCTTCACTCCCATTTAATGAGAAATTGAGTTCATAAAGAGCAAATTTCCTCAAACTCCAGACTTCCTCTTATCACTTCAAAGCCAGATGCTTCATTTGGCCTCTTACTCCCCTGTTCGCCTTCCTCTGTGACATTCTGCCTGCGGTTACTCCTGTCTGTCCTTTATCTTCAAAGTCTCCTCTTTCAAGACTAAACTGCTCAAGGTTCTCATTTTAAAGTTGAGATAGCTCTCAAACCCACATGCCTCCTTGCTAATGCCCAAGGCTCTCCTAAAGATAGAAATTTACGCTTTCGCTCTCTATGTTCTCACTTCCTCAACACACTAAAATTTGAACCCTGCTTCCATGACCCTGACCTAACTTTCTACATATAGAAAGACTGATATACATGAGTACCTTAATTTTTTTTTCCAAAGGAGACAATCTTCCTTTAACTTTCTACTGATACGCCTGACCTTCTGATGAGTCCCTTCTTTGATGTCTTCTAATGTCTTCTAAAATATTGATTTCTGTAGGATGATTCTCTTCTGGCCCATTGAACCTCATTTTGATCTGTGTTGCTGGATTCACTTCCTCTGCCTGCTTTGTCACTATTCCCCAGTGAGATGATCTGGGCCTTCTCCGTTCACTTTGGGACTTCTCCTGAATGACTTTATACACTCTTGTGGTTTTAACTACATATGGAGTTTTTAACCACAGTTATGCCTCCCAACTGTGCATTTCTAATACTAATTTTTATCCTGAACTTCAAACTGCAAATGCACTTGCCCGGTATGTGGCCATATCTTGACATTCCACAGACATTTTAGGCTATAAATATTGAAGAATAAATTCACGATTTTTATGCCTTCTCTTTGACATCCCCCTGCATTTCTGTTTCAATCTGTGTTCCAATCGCTACATTCAGTAACCTATTTCCTAAACCTGGAAATCATCCTTACGGCCTCTCCTTCTTAACCCAGAGACACAACATTCAGCTGCACAGTTTATACTCTGAAAAAGGAGGCCCAGACCATAGGGATAGATTGGGAGTTGGCAAACTTTTCTGTAAAGGGCCAAATAGTAAATACCTGAAGTTTTGCATACCATACAATTTTTCTGTCACAACTACCCAAGGCTCTGCTGCTGTATTGTGAAAGCAGCCATTGACAATATGTAAACCCACAAGTGTGACTATGTTCCAATATAAGTTTATTTACAACAATAGGTATAGTGTGTCATTTCCTGGGATGGAGTTAGGATTGCTGAAATTCAGCCTATGTTCTACTTGTCTAAACCCTGGGTCCAGCACAGGCAGTGCTATTAGACTAGAAGCCATCTTGCCCTTAGCCCCCACCTCTAAATTTAATCATCTCATCATTTTAATTTTACTTTCCAAATATTTCTCTTTTTTATAAGATTTATTTATTTATTTGAAAGCAAGAGTGCAAGCAGGGGGAGGGGTAGAGGGAGAGAAACACAAGCAGACTCCGCCTAGCCGAGTGCAGAGCTCAATGCTTAATCTCACCACCCTGAGATCATGACCCTGAGATCAAGACCTGAGCTGAAATCAAGAGTTGGACACTTAACCAACTGGATCACATAGGTGTCCCTTTCCAAATATTTCTTGAATATTTCCTTTGTAAATTCAATGTCATTGCCTAAATTTAGTCCTCAAATAGTACTTCAAAGCCTTCTTAATCTGACCTTATATCTTCAAATCTTACAAACAAAATTATCTTTCTAAAATTCAAATCAAACCATGTTACCAACTAAATGAAAAGAAAATTCTTATGTAATTTTAAAAAGCACGTTTGATCTGACTTTCTGGTCTCATCATCAATCACTTTTTCTCCTGAGCTTATATTCCAATAACACTGAGTCACCTGTAGTCCCAGGAATCATAGTTATCTCTATATCCACTATGTCTTCTGTTTTACTGCCTTCCCATTTTCAAACTTCCCCCTGGCAAAGTCACTTTCAGACTCTAACACTGGCCCCACTTGTCATGTTTCTACAAATACTTCCCTTTAATTTCCCACAACTGCTGACAGAATTAACAACTTCCTCTTCTTTGCAAGTTCTTAAGCTTATACACATGTCAGTAATTGAACATATTACACTGCACTGGGATATATCTGACTACATTTTTTTTCTCCTTACTAGACCACATGCTCCTTAAGCCCAAGGATTGTATTTCAGTCATCTGTGTGTTTGCAATGCTTAGCATAGGGCCCAGCATAGAGTGAATTCTCAATACTTGTTGAACTGAACTGACCTGAATTTTAATTTAAAACTGAAATCTGTAAGCAGCTACTCCCGCAGGCTGCTTCCCCAAGAGGTCTAAAATACTGAGATGTTTCCATTTTGAATGCAGAAAGAACTTCCAGATCATTTTAGGCCTTGGATGGAAATTGCCAACGAACTCCCTCATTTGATTGAGAGTCACCAGCTTCAAGCTCGAGTGAACAAGGTATATATTTTTTTATTCTTCTCTTTAAGTTCTTCTTTTTTTCTCTTTAAGTTCTTCTCACCATCCTATTTTCAACCCCACACCACATATCTTTACCAGCATTATGATAGTGGGTCAGTGGACCCAGGGACACCCATCATTGCCATTGAAATTACCAAGAAAGCTACCTCACCTTTCCTGAAGAGTGGAATGATATTATATCATATTACACACGCATTTCCCTAAAATTCCCAGAGCCTGCCCAAAACAATTTCTGGAACATATTAAGCACTGAACAAATATTTGTTTAGAGAAGGGAGGCTGTCTGGTTAGGAATTATAGGTAAGCTGATGGATAAGCTCTAGCTGGAGAAGGGTAAGCAATGAAATTCTCAGTGTCCTCCTTGCATGTCACATGGTTAGTGCTCCTCTCCCTTGATTTTACCATCGGGGTCTCATAGAATAGTTGGGTCAAGAGAATTACTGAGTTATGAAGTCAGGTTGGTAGGTTCTGCAGAAATAATTGGTAAGAGGAGCAATATTTCCAAGAGTGAGTAAGAAAGAGTGAAACTTCTTGGTCCCCAGAGCACTGACAGTATCCCACAGTAATAATAAGAAGATGCAACAAGAAAATATAGACTCTGATTCAGGAAGACCTGAGTTTGAATCTTGGTTTTATCATAAAGTAGCTATCCAACTTGTAAAGAAATTATTTCACCCCTGTAATTCTGCCTCCTTTTTTACAGAAGGGGAGAAGTTCTGGTTTCATAGAATTGTTGTAAGGGCTAAATGACTTCCTAAATCCCTGCCATTCAACAGTGTTCAATATATATTTATACTTCCCTCTAGTCTCTTCTCCATGAGCTTTAATCCCACCAATTTGGAGTGCCATGAGGTTTCAGAGATACAAGAAAGGTTTTCCATTCTCCCAAATTCTCCATCACTGACTTAAATATATTTAATATCTACAAACACTAATGGATTTAAAAGTACTTACTAGATGCCTGCTAAGTGCAGGCACAAGATTGGAAATCCTGTAAGAGATGCAAGAGACTGCCTTCAGTGTTTATGAAGATGGCAAACTAAACCTAAGAATTTATTTTCCTGCTGCATAAAGTCTCTAATATGACCAAAGAAACACAAAAAGAAGAAAAATAGGAAAATATCTTTAAGTGCAGGAAAACAAGAGAAAAGTACCAAAGGTGGATAAAACTTTAAGAACATTTGTTCCATATTAAGCAAATTATATCAGAGTGTATGGTACCCATGCAAAGCATTCAACCAAAGCAAATTGAGCCTTTGTAGCCTCCTTCTCCTGTCTCAGATAGCAGAGCATAGAAGCAAGGTGGAGTCAGGAACAATTTGTAGAAGGACAGATTAAGGTTCAATTTGTTAACTACACAGATCTCGGCACCAGGGTTTCCTTAGGCTTTATTTGATTGAACTATCATGAGTGAAGTGAATAACCCATTGAATTGGTGCTTCTCATATGTTAAATATCAGTGAGAAAAGGCCGGGAGTGTACAGCTAACTTCTGGCTACTGAAAACATGGAAGTTCGGGAAAGAGTTTAGTGCAGCTGTGAAAATAATCCCCTGACACTTCTACTGGGTTGAATAGTGTCTCTCCAGAAATTGTCCACTTGGAACCTAGGACAGTGACCTTATTTGGAAATAGGGTCTTGGCAGATGTAATCAAGGTAACTGAGGTCATACTATATTAGGTTGCATTCTAATTCAATATGACTGGTGTCTTTATAAGAAGAAGGAAATGTGGACACAGACACACAGATACACAGAGAAGAACACCATGTGAAGACAGAGGCAAGAGATAGGAGAGACGGATCATCTAAAAGCCAAAGTGTGCCAAGAGTTTCTCGTAATCACCAGAACCTGGGAAGTGGACATGGAATGGAATGTCCCTTAGAAACTTCAGAAGGAACCAACCTTATAAACACCTTAATCTCAGACTTCCATTGCCCAGAATTGTGAGAGAATACAGTTCTACTGTTTTAAGCTTCTGAGTTGGTCTTCATTTGTTGAGGTGGTCCTAGGAAACTATTACAACAGTCGTGGCCAGTCATTACATTTCCAATTACTTATAAAACATCTAACTACATGAAACCACTTTTAAGACTTCACTGGGCACGTGGCAGTCTCAGTAGGTAGAGCATGCAACTCTTCATCTTGGGGTTGTAGTTTCGAGCCCCACATTGGGTGTGGAGATTACTTAAAAAAAAAAAAAAAAAAAGATGTCACCAGCACAGGCTGAGACTGAATCAATTGGAAATCAGTCATGAAAAGCAAATATTATGGCTTCCAGGACCATACATGGAGCTACAGACTAAAAAATTGTTCTCTTGAGTCCTTTACTTGGCACAAACAACACAATAATTGCATTTACATTTTTGATCTTAAAGTACCTCCAGGCAAGCCACCTTGCTCTTAGAAAGCTCCAGGAAACCTATCCATATTTTGGTAAAAAACCAACCAACAAACAAACAAAACTTGCTTATTGGTTTAGGCACATCCATCTTATTCCAGAAAGAATCCCCTTTCTCCACTCCACCCCCACAGAACACTACAGGCAATTGACCTGTTCACAGGAAGCTGCACAAGAAAAGATTCAGCAGCATTCTGGGAACATGATTAAGGTATGCTTTATTTTTTTATTTTTTTATTTTTTAAGGGATGCTTTAATAGCTACTAGTTCTGATAGAACTGACCACCATTCCTGAACATGAATCAATAACATCAAATTACCATATAATATGAAGAGAAGGAATAAGTCAAAACACAGTAGGAAGGGACTGGACATTCACAACTAATGGCTCTGATGGGATCAATGTTTTTAAAATTTTAATTAATGTCTCCAGTGTATTACTTCATAAAAATAGGTGAAATTGTACATAAAAGGAACTAATGGGGGAGCAAAGAAATAAGCAAGCAAAACACTCAATATAAACTCAAATAAATCAGAGAAACATTGGTTATAGAAAAAGGACACGCTTTTCATAAAGTATAAAGCAAAAATTAAAGAAACGCCAACTCTCAGGAAAATAAAGTATGTGAAAAGGAGAAATGGATGACCCAAATTCTACTAAATCGAATTTCCCAAAGCAGAGAGGTGTAGGTGGGGAAAAAACAAAGCTTCAAGCATGTAAGAACAAAGTTTTTCAGATCTTATGAAAGATTTGAGTATTTTATCAGAAAGACAATGGGGGTGCGGGGGACACATACAGATATCCTTGTGAAATTTCAAATTTTCTAGAATAAGAAGAAAACTTCGCAAGTTTTAATCAGGAAACAATAAAAAACAAAACTAGTTTACTTATGGAGTAATGGGATTATTTATAATAATAAGTATTAAGAGACAATTTAACACGTCTTTGAGCAACTAAAATTAAAAAAAAAAAAATTCAGCATTACCAAGTGCTGATGGCGATATGTACCAAAAGAGACACTCATTCATTTTGCTGGTGGGAATGCAAAATATAGTACAGCTACTTTGGAAGATGGTTTGGCAGATTCTTAGGAAGTTGAATATAGACTTTCCATAAGACCCAGCAATCACATTCCTAAGTATTTACCCAAGTCAACTGGAAATTGATGTGCGTGGAAAAGCTTGTATGTGACTGTTTATAGCAGCTTTATTCATAATCCCCCAAACTGGAAATAACCAGCTTGCCTCTCAACAGGAGAATAGTCAAACTGAGTATGTGGATGGAACGTTTTTATTGCCCCCAAACACAGATTTTGAATTCCTAATCCCCAATGTGATGGGATTAAAGGGTGGGGCTTTGAGGAGGTGATTCAGTCAGGGTTCTCTAGAGAAATAGAAGCAATAGGATATAGAGAGACATAGAGAAAAAGATTTAGTAGGAAGGACGGGCCCACATGACTATGGAGGCTGCAACCTGCAAGTTAGGGGCCAAGGAAAGCTGAGAGCCAAGGAAGCCAACAGTGTGCATCTCAGCCTGAGTCCGAAGGTCCAAGCACCAAGCCCCAAGAGCACCGATGTCTCAGCATAAGCAGACAGAAAATTCATCCTTCCTCCACTTTTTTGTTTTATCCAGGCTCTAATGGAATGGATGATGCCCACCCAAATCGCTAAGCACGATGTTCTTTACTCAGCTTACTGTTCAAATGCTATTCTCTTCCAAAAACACCCCCTCAGGGGCGCCTGGGTGGCTCAGTTGGTTAGGCGACTGCCTTCGGCTCAGGTCATGATCCTGGAGTCCCGGGATCGAGTCCCGCATCGGGTTCCCTGCTCAGCAGGGAGTCTGCTTCGTCCTCTGACCCTATCCCCTCTCATGTGTTCTCTCTCTCTCAAATAAATAAATAAAATCTTTAAAAAACAAAAAAACAAAAACACCCCCTCAGAGACATACCCAGAAATAATGTTTTGCCAGTTATCTGGGCATCCCTTAGCCTGGTCAAGTCGACACATTAAACTGACCAACACAGAATGTAACTAGGTCATGAGCATGGAACCCTCATAAGGAGGATTAGTGTGCTTATAAAAGTGGCTCCTGAGTGTATCTGGCCCTCCTTAGCTATAATGTGAGGTTACAACAGGAAGACAGCTGTGTGCAACCCAGCAGAGGACCCTCCCCAGAACCCAGTCATGCTGGCACCCCACCCTGATCTTGCTCTTCCAGCCTCCAAAATTGTAAGAATTAAATGTCCACTGTTTATAAGCTACCTAGTCTGTGGTACTTTGTTATAACATCCCTGACTGGATGAGACACCGAGTTATATCCACACAATGGAATGCTATTCAGTGTCAAAAATGTATTTTGCTAAATGAAACATGTCAGACTCAAAAGACTGTGTATTGTATAATCCCGTTCAAATGGCATTCTCAAAAAGACGAAAGTGTAAGCCAAAAACAGATCAGTGGTTACCAAGGACTGAGGAGGAAGAAGTGGGTGGTTGACTACTGCAGGAGGAGTTTTAGGATGTTAGAACTGTTCTGTGGGGTACTCAGGTGGTGGCAAAACCCATAGAATTGTATATCACAAAGAGAGAATTGTATGCAAATTAAAAAAAAATTAATCGAAACTGGGGGGGAATCTTGGGATGGAATGCAGACTATGACAAACAAGCGTAACTGTGTTCCAGATGTATGACAACTTCGCAGGAGGGAGCGGAGAGAAAGGAGCTGATCTAAGCAGGTGGGAAACGATGCTGTGGCTGCAATCTGTATGGCCAAACTCAAGAGGAATTGCACAGAATCACTATACTCTAGTTGGGAAACTGTTTTTTCTGGGGGTTGGGTGGTGGATGATACTTTGCTGCCAGAGATGAAAGTTATAAATTGGCCAGAGGGGAAGGCTAGAATCAACCTGTGGCCCTGGATTAGACTTGGAGACATGAGTATAAAGTCATGCTTAGCATTACATATGTGGGTAAATAGATAAACATATGTGGATAAATCAATATTATATGGATATGGATATATGTAATATGTGTGGACACACATGCACACGACACAGTTCCTAGCTTTGTCCCCTGTGAAGACCTAGGAGCGGTGGCTCCCAGGAGCAATGGGCAAGCCCAGTGTCAGGACAAATAACCCTTCTCCAATAAAAAGAACTAGGGCTCCTTGGAGAAAAGGCTGATTATAAACTTGGGACAGGGCAAATACAAGATGAAACATCTTGCACTGCTGGAAAGTAAAGGAATGCTAACAAACAAACACTAAAGGTTGGGACATGTCAAATGGGACACAGAAACAAACCTGAAAGAGCCCCCAGTGGCCCATATAGAACAATATAGCAAGCAAGTAAATAAAGTAGCATTGGGTTATAATCCAAAGTATAAAATAAATATATGTCTGTCTATACTGATATTTTTTAAAGATAATGTATGAATATTAATAAAATTTTAGGAAAAGGTATTTAGAACCCAGATTTTATTAACCATCCATAAGAACTAAAAAAAGTAAATTATCAGTCAAATCAAGAAATAAGAAAATATACTATCCAAGCACTTTGTCTCAAATGTTCAAAAATTATTCTAGCATCCTGAATCTAAATCAGAATAAAGGACTCAGGAAAGATGAAAAATGAGTATTTAAGAAACATCCCCAAACAATGAAATTAATGAAATATATGGTCAATTTTTGGGGGGGGGGTGTACAGTTAATTCTTAGTAATCACTACTAATGTGTCTGTGAAATAAGAAGGAATTTCTAAAATAATTTGTGCATGCATGTGTGTGTATGGACATAGTATTGTGGCCAAAGTGCATTAACATGATGATGGAGTTAAAATTCTATATTTATTTTTAACAAGATGTTAAAAAAAAAAGATGTGGAAGTTGTGAAAGTAAGATAATGTTTAGTTTATCATGCCATCTTACATAGTAAATTAACAAATATATGTATATTTAACAACAGCAAGGTGAGAAGATTTGCCTTATCAGTTATCATGACATAATACAAAACTACAAAAATTAAAATCAGTTGATATGGGGCCAGCAATAAACAGAGAGGACCACTGGATTGGCTACTTTTATCATAAACAAAAATAAATTCATTCCAGATGGGTTAAGAATTTATATGTAAAAGACAAAAATGTAAAAGTTATAGAAGAGAATTTAAAAGAATATGTACTTGGACTAAGGAAGATTTCCTAATGACTAAAATTGGGATATTTTTCTGATAGACCTCACTTTATTAAAATAGAACCTGCATTCATCAAAATAGACCATAAAGAAAATGAAAAGCCAAGCCATAAACTGAAAGATGACGTTATCACATATATAACTGAGAAAAAATTTGTATCCTGAATATACAAAGTTCTGGAAATAAAACAGAAAGACAAACAACCAAGTTAAAAAAAAAAAAAAGGTGCAGTAAACATGAACATTTTGCAAAATAGCAAACATGACTGACCAAGTGACATATGAAAGATGCTAACCTTTATTAATAATCAGGAAAATGAAAATTATAACTGTAATGAGATTGCATTTTACAACTTCTGTATTTTCTTTCCATCTTAAAACACAAATATGAAAACAAGTTGATTATTTTTTTTTTAAGATTTATTTATTTATTTGATAGAGAGCACAGGTGGGCAGAGTGGCAGGCAGAGGGAGAGGGAGAAGCAGGCTCTCCGCTGAGCAGGGAGCCGGATGTGGGGCTCAATCCTAGGACCCCAGGATCATGACCTGAGCCAAAGGCAGCCGCTTAACCGACTGAGCCACCCATGTGCCCCATAAGTTGATTGCTTTAAATTGAGGAAAACATTAAGTTTATGACTCATTCTTCCCCTAACCATTTCATCGTTTTTTGTAGAAAAAACTTCCACTACGAAGAAGAGTATTTGTTGTTGCTGTTTATTTTTTTTCTAAATATATTTTTTTTCATTTTTAATTATTTGTGTTTGCTTGGAAGGGAGAGTCCAGGGACTCTGGAATGTGCAAGAAATTTCCAAGAAAACCTCTAACCAAGAGCCACATTTCCAACTCAGACTTTGTTCCTTTCCCTTAAGGCTGCATTAGAGGTAGCCAAGAGGGGCTTATGGCTATTGAACGTCTGAAATGTGGTTAAGACAAATTAATAAGCCACTCACTGGATTTTGAAGACTTACTATAAAAAGAACACAATATCTCAAAAATTTTATACTGACCATGTGTTGATAATATTGTGGATATACTGACATAGAAAAATATGTTATTAAAACGAATTTCATGTTTCTTTTTAGTATTTTTTTTTTATGTCACTGCTAGAAAATTTGAAATTACAAGTGTGGCTCTCATATTTTTATCAGGGAGTGCTAACTTGAGAAAGCAGGACAGTGATCAGTAGAACTTAAGTAACACCCTGGCTCAGTCCCTCCCAGGTCTGTGACCCAATACCTACCCTCTCTGACTGTTTTGTCCTGTGGATTTGGCGGGAAGATGGAACACCATCTGGCGTGGGAAGTTTTTAGCATCCTGCCTAGTAAACACTTTAGTTAGGAGCCTTATAACAAGTACTCAATAACTATTAGAATTTTCAGGCTGCTTCCTGTTGAAATGCAACATTTCAGCGGCCACCACCCCGCCCCCCTTCACCCCATACACACACGCAAGCACGGAAGCCTAGAGCACGTCGCATTTGCGATTCTATCAGAGCCAATTTTAAGGAGGAATAAACACGCAGTTGCGAGGGGCGGACAGACGCGGAAAGCTGCCCTCTAGCGGAGAGCAGAGGGAGGACTCCGCGAGCTGCCGGGAGGGAGCCCAGGCGGGAGGAGCAGCGGGTCTGAGGCTGCTCGGGGGTGCCTGGAGCTTAAAAGGATACACAAGACGTCCGCCACCACCTTTTGCGGCACTTAAGGACCCCGGAGAGGGGAAGATCTGGATGAGGCTGTGTCTAGAGCTGGGCCAGCCATGGGAGGAAGGAGGAGAGCAGAGGTGGGGAGGGGGCGTGCCAGGAAGCTGGAGCTCCTTGTTGGTGTCAACCAAGACAGGCAAGGCTGTTCCAGGCAAAAGTGAGAAACCCATTGTTCTTTAGGCAGGGCTGTCAATAATTAACTTCTGTGAAAGGTGTGGCTTTCATGAGGACGCCATCAGTAAACTTCCAGGTGACACATTTCCACGAGGAAAAGGGCATGGAGAGGTGAAAACACCCAGCCAGGGTCATCGGAAGAGTTCAAACAGGGACTGCACACCCTTTGGCCCAGCTCGGCTAATGCCCTAATGCCTAGGGATTTGGTCAAATTCCCAACTCCACTGGGCCTCCTTTTACTTCGGAATTAAGCGGAGTCAGGCCCGCTGCACAGGCTTGTTACCGGGGTTACAGGATGTCAAGGAAGCAGAGCTGCCTTGATAGGTAGGGCTATAAAAGTTGCCACGGTACGCTCCGTGAAGTAAACGATCCCGGTCTCGGGAATTCATTGTACGAGAACGCTCTAACCAATCTGTCAGTTCGGTGGAGGCGACCAGTGGTTGGCACAACCACGGGGGCCATAAGGGAGCTTGGGTGGAGTGGTTCGGTACATCCTGAACAATGTTGCCCGGAATCCCTCCATACTGCAGGGTCCTCAGATCAGGGGGAGAATGGGTGTGCACGGAGGCTCTTCGTTCCTCCACAAAAATATAACCTGTTCCCTACACCTGACGAGCCCTTCCAGTCAGAGAACCCCTGTGCCCATCCTCAGCCCTGCAGCTGATAATGTGTGCATATTGTCTTGAACAGATGCCCCTGCTGGACTGCCGGTTCCTCAAGAGTTACCGGGAACAGCGCCTGGCCCACTTGGTCCTGAGCTTCATGACCATGGGCTACGTCTGGCAGAGAGGAGAGACACAGCCGGAAAAGGTACGGGGCAAGTAGATGCCCGCCTTGCAGTCCGGCAGGTGGGCTGTTCCTGGAATGCGCTCCCTGCTTGGCCCCCCACTGTTTTTCTGGAAGATAAGTCCTTTCTTGTTCTTTTCTCTGGCTATCCATTGAAGGAAGGGCAAGTGGCCCACTTCAATGAAAGAATTTTTTTCCCTAAGAAGGTAATTTTCTTTTTTTTTTTTTTAGAACTTGTAGCCATTTCTCCCTTTCATTAGCTTTCACATCTGTTTTCTTTCTGGCAATAATGCTTCAAGATGCATTTGAAAGTAAGAACTGAGGTCTCATAAAATACTTAATGATAGCTTACCTTTTACCGCATTTTGTCTGCCTCTGCACATACATTATCTCTTGATTTTCACAATCCCATAAAGTAAGTAAAACTCCACTATGCCCATTTTACAGATAGCTGAGGACTACAGAAGATAAAGTCCTTGTCCGAGGTCAAAGAGCAAGTCAGTGTAAAATGCAAGGCCATGCTCAGACCTTCTGATTCACCAATGCAAACCTCTTTCCCTAGAGGCACTCTCTGACATTAACAAGATTAATTTTAAATTTTTAATACTCCTTTCTTTCTACTGATTATTGGTCTCTTAATAATGTATTTAAATCTCTTCTGAATCGTGACTTAACGTTTTATGGTTTCAGCTTGAACCTTGCAAGGTGAAGTCTCTGAGTTCCACTGACAGCAGTAGTAAAAAGCACTACTCCCTCTCATTTTGCAGAAGTGTCCCTTTTCCAGGAATTGGAGTTTACATTGTTCCAGTACTTCATGTTTACTGAGCAGCCCCAGCCTATTTGGTTTGCTTGATTGATCCTGCCTCTTTTCTTCCAAGTAAACACGGGAAACTCCCATGGGAAAAGGAAGGGAGGTTGAGAAATGAGAGAGGAGGAAAGTATAGAGTTGCTTCAGAGTTTTTAAATGTTAGGACATCTTATTTTTAAAAATTGTGTGCCTGATATAAGAAAGTATGGAATCTAGGCACACTACCAACCATCCCACTGGGCCCCCCTCCCCCTTGGGTTCTCCAAACCATAATCCTAGATGGGGGAAGGAGTGGAGTGAAGAAGGCTGACAGGAGAGGGAGTCTCTAACGAGGTGTGTCCATTCACTTCCAGGTGAACAGGAAACCCCTGGCCATGGCCTCAGATCATCCCTGACTTTCTCTGCGTCTCATCTTTTAACTTTTCACTGAAATAGACACTGCCCTTCTGCACTGCCCTCCTCATCCCCTGATTCCCAAGGAAAGCTAAACTTCAGTTTGAATTTTAAGACTCTTTAAACTTCTTTATTGTTTTCCACCTAAAAAACAGTTCTGTCCCAAGTCTAATCTAAAAATCTAAGGGAAAGCAAAGGCAGAAGTGGGGCTCTTTTAATAGATACTTTTATCTTAGGGGGAAATAAAAATGGAAGTGGGAGATAGGGAGCATGAGAGTGTTCTTTTGGATCCAAACTAATTTAGCCTTGTCCGCAAATAAGAGACCCTTTCTGGTCTCCCATAGATCTGAATAGTTTTTCTGGACTTGTGGGCAGATGAGTCTCTTTGGAGTGGTCCTCAGATAACTTAGGGGTTGAAAGGCAACTGTCTTGGGCGCCTGGGTGGCTCAGTCGTTAAGCATCTGCCTTCGGCTCAGGTCATGATCCCAGGGTCCTGGGATCGAGCCCCACATCGGGCTCCCTGCTCCACCGGAAGCCTGCTTCTCCCTCTCCCATTCCCCGTGCTTGTGTTCCCTCTCTCGCTGTGTCTCTCTCTGTCAAATAAATAAATAAAATCTTAAAAAAAAAAAAAAAAGAAAGGGAACTGTCTTGAGGTCACTTACTTGAAGGTATTATTGGGTTTGACTTATGAAGTGATGGACAGAGTTGGCTGCCACACAGGATGAAGTGTTCTATCCTCCTCATTCCTCTTCCTGAGTGACACATAAACACACACACACGTACGTGTGTACATACATACCCACATGTGTAAATATGCTTGTGTTCTTATACACACAGATATATCAACATATTTATGTAGTTGTCTCTGTCTATAGATAAGTAGATAGAGATAGAGATTTTTTTCCCACTACACATCAACCCAGTTCATGTTCAAACATTTGGTCAAACATTTGATGCCCTTCTTTGTAGTCAGTTTTCAGAGATCATTTTATGCTATATCTGTATGTATGTGCTCCAGCTTTGTAATATTATTATATATTTCAGCTTGTACTTATAAACAATATATCCACTAGATTGTAAACAGAAAAAAAATATGAAAGTGAGGTGTGTATTTATGGATCACTCAGATAATATCAGTTTTATTGCCCAGGTCATTTCTCTACCACAGGATTGCTGGAATAGAGGGCAACCATGACTACTTCCTCTGTGGCATTCTTTCAAGAATATACTAGTCGTATATTCTATCATATCGTATTGTATCACAGTCATATGTATCTGGATTTATCTATCTGCTGTATATTCTGTCTATCGTATCATGATCGTATATATCTGGATTTATATCTAAAAGGTTCTGCCAAGAAATCTTGCCCTTCCCCTTGTTGAAGTCTCCAGAAACTTGGGGCTCCCTCCTATCCTGGTCCACTCAGACCTGGTGCTGACAAACTGGACCCCTAGGGATCCAGAAAGGTAAGATGCAGAGTGAGTGCTTTGGATGTGAACAGACTGAAACTGAGTAAAGGGCAGCCCTGTGACTTTTACTCTTCCTACAGTAAAGGCCCTGGGTTTTTCAGCCACTTGCAATTAGAGATGTTCATATTTATTATCTACTTTATGGTTGCAAAGCAGGATCAGCCTGAACACAAGTTCAAAAATCACAATTCCCAGCAGTTTCACTCTGAATACATTGGTCCAAGCTACATTTTTCTTGTTTGCTCGTTTGCTTCCACATCCGATCTCAACTTGACCTTCAAGCTCCTGCATGATTAGACTTCGCTCATTCTTTCTCATCAAATTATCTCCTGTGCCCTAACACGCCCTCCATTCATGTCAAATTAGGACCAGTGACTTCAGTAAGTGATCATGATGTAGCGATCATAAATGAATGATTATGGGTGAATTAGGCATAGGGCTCTAGATAAGCTGGATTGAGAATTTGATGAATAATGCCATCTCTTCTACCTAGTTGGCATCAATCCTCTGAAAGCTGGTTTGGGAATGTAGGTAGGCAGTAGTCTAAAGAAGTAGCGAGAATTTTTTAACAAACAATCAATAGTCAGAATGGGTGGAAGAGAGGAAGTATTTAATTTCCCTTTGAACTTTATTATCACAGCCAAATTTATTTCAGGCTATAGATGCAAGAGAGAGTGCTTTGTGACTTCATAAAATAGCTAAAGGGACATTTAGGTTAGATGTGAGGAGGAACTTCTTTAGCATGAGGTTTGTGGGTAACCACAGGATTTCAGAGATGATGGAAATCTGTTCTAGAGGATTAAACACTTAACAGACAATATACCTTTCTGGACTAATTTGTGTGGCCTTTGGAAGAAGTGAGGTCATCTCATCTCTCTAAGGAGCTCTGAGCTCTGGGAGGATACATTTTCCATAATTATTAATAATGATCTTTGACCAATTCTGCTTTCATAACAAAATTGATGACCAATATTCTCATAAAAAGCTGCTAAATCTGGCTCAGAGATTTGACAGAAAAAAAATTATAAATATATGTGTAGAAATGATTCTGGTCGGGGTGCCTAGGCGGTTCAGTGGGTTAAGCGTCTGCCTTCGGCTCAGGTCATGATCCCAGGGTCCTTCGATAGAGCCCCACATCAGGCTCCCTGCTCAGTGGGGAGCCTGCTTCTCCTTCTCCCTCTGCAGCTTCCCCTGTTGTGCACTCTCTTTCTCTCTGACAAATAAATAAATAAAATCTGTAAGATAAAAAAAATAAACCTCATGCAAGCAAGTTTATTACCACATTTAAAAAAAAATTCAGACTTTTACAAAAAAAAAAAAAATCAGGAAGTAGCTTGGTGAGGGGGTGAAATTTGACCTAGGTACATGCTAAAGGCGAGTAAGAGTAGAAGAGCTACAATAGAAACGTGGGTTTGTGGCAATTACAAACATATAAAAGGAAGAAGATAATTTATGATGCTGGCCACAGGCTAAATGTTCTGGGGCTCGTGTATGAGCTGAGATTTAGCTCCCTCTTTGTCACACAGTGGCTTGCAGGAGAGGAAAACTTCTCCCTCTTCCCTTCTAGGTTCTTTGGCTGGTTTGATAATTAACTTGACGTAAGAGAGATTAATAAGAGAAAAACAAATTTAATTTTGTGCATGCAGGAGCCCATAAAAATCTGAGACTCAAACAGGTGACCAAAACAAGCAGCTTCTATACCTTTTACACAAGAAAGCAATACATTTGGGAAGGATTGATAAGACAAAGGGGTTTGGACTTGGGGCAGCAAATTAGGGAAGAAGTAATAAGATGTGTTTTCTCAGGCTCGTCAGCCCTAAATTCCCTATTGCAGGTGATAAGGACACTTTCTATTCTCCTGGTTCAGGAGGATACCTTTCATGTAGCAGATTTATTTCCTGCTTTCAGGGGAGCTAAGGTCAGAGTGTGCTTCTTGTACCAGCTCTTTCTTAAGTAATGTTAGTTCAAATGATGAGTGTGCCAAAGCAGTGCATTTTGGGGTGGCAGATTCTGCTCACAGTGTAGTCACTAACTGTGACGTCCAAAGTGTGCATGGGTATGTGTGTGCACACAAATGTGCATGCCTGTGTATTTGTGACTGCAAAAGGCATATCCGGTGTACAAACTGATTTGTTCTTTTATTTTCTTTTTCTCTTTGTGGTTGTCAATACCGAAGACCCTTGGAAATTGGGTAAGTTCTCCGAAGTCCTTCACTCACTTTAGAATCCATGTGAACTCAAAGCTTACAATAAATAAAAGAGAAAGGCATACCAATTTTTTATGTATGGTATATAAACTATCTAAAAATGCCCGAAAAACGACTAGAAGGACATGTGCCAAAAATTAACAGCGCAAAAGTTAACAGTGGTGCCCTGCTTTGTAAGGATTAGGGGATTCATTTTCTTTACTATGTTTTCCAATCTGTGCATAAGGCAACAAGTAAAGTGCAATGCAAAAAAAAAAAAAAAAACTTTACCAAGTTTCTAATTCTCTGTGATTCTTTGAAGTCTGATGATCTGAAAAAGATCTCTGGTCTCACCATAAGGTCTATGAACGGCCCAGCTGCAGGCAGCGGTTGCTCCAGCTACAAAAGAATCCCTTTGCAATGTCTTGTTTTACACGGACTGGCGCTCATGGGGCAGGCCTGCTCCAGACATCCTCAGTCTCCTCTTTCCCCAGCGAGCAAAATTACCCTCTAAAGGAGCCAAACCTCAGCTCAGGAGGGGGTTCAGTATAAAAGTTGTAGCTCAGAAGATGGAGGGTGGAAAGGCAAAGACACCACCTTCCACGCTATCGTCTCTGCTGGCACAATGGAGTTCCGGACCTATTTTTCTTTTGTGTTTGTTTTTCATCTCTCGTCGTGCGTAAGATGTTAGAGGCAGAAGTGACTTATGGAGTGAAGTTTTCGGTTTTATAGACTGGATCGACGTCTGGGATATTTGCATCCATATGATAACTGGTCATTTAAAATCGATCCCTGTTTAACAGTCTTCCTGCTGTCATTCTACTATAATACAGCACTTGGGGGAAAAAAATAAATCACTGATGAGAAAGAGCACTAGTCTGAGTTATGAGATATTCCTGCCCTGGTCCTGGGACTCATCAGCTGCATGGGGAAACCACTGTGCTTCTCTGGGCCATAGTTTCATGTCTAAAAGAGGAGCATGGAATTAGCTATGGCCTGTGGTCACTATGGCTCCGAGACTCTCTGCCCCTGACAGGAATGGTGTGATGGGCCCCAGCTGGAGAATCAGCAGGGCCTGCCCACTTATGCTTCAGCTGATCCCCTCGGGAAACGGGCAAGGACCATCAGGGCCATGCTAGACTTTGACAGTCTTCAGGTCCTGTGAATGGGGGCTGGAATAGATCTGCTCTCTCTTTCTCTCTCTTTTTTTTTTTTTTTTTTGGAATATGGCTGGAGGCGGAGGCTCCTCCCCAGGGCAGTCCTGTGGAGCCGAGAGGGTTTCTTTCAGAGTCCACTTGCTCTCATGGTTGTCTCACTCTGAGGTGGCCTGGGGCTGTGCGCCTCGCGGTGTCCAAGCCTCGCTAACCATGTGGTCATTTCCTTCCCAAGGAACTTGGACCTCATTGTCTCATTTCCTGGGGGGGAGAGCCTGCGTGGCTTTATACTGGTGACTGTTTTGGTGGAGAAGGCAGCAGTGCCTGGGATTAAGGTATTGTCTTCACAGAACTTTTTTTTTTTTCCTAAATGAGCAATTAGTGTGAGCTTTACTTCCCACCAAGTCCCTCTCCCTGTGGTGAACTAATCAATATAGATGGACAGGCTTTGTCCTGCTTGGTTTATGTCTGAGCTCTAGCCCACAGAGATCTCTGCCGTTCCTCAACCACCGTAAAACTTGGAATGACCATTTGTCCACTCAACAGACTAGCTTAGTTCTAAGCAATGGATGTCTCTGGGGGAACAAAACAGACACTGCTCTGGCCTCCACAGAAGCTCACCGTCCAGTGGAGGAAGATGGGCCGATATATAGGGTAACAAGAAAAAAAAAGCAGTGTTTCATGAAAAGACATCTAAAACCTAATCCAGACTTGCAGGGTCAGGCAAAGGGAAATGAGAGCTGGAGTTAATATCCTCATGATGTACAGGAATTAATCAGGGGGTGGGAATGGGGGGTGGGGAGTGGTATTCCTGGCCCAGAGAACTGTTATGCAAAGCTTCAGAGGACAATGAATCATCATTGAGATTCCCTAGCCCTGGGGGTGGGGGGAGTTGCAAATTTGAATTCCTTCAGGGGTCAGGTGGGTACAGAGAGGTCAGGTGTAAGACAAAAGAAGGTGGAGTGGCAGGTGATCAGCTAGAGATTGTGTGCCTTATTTAAGTGAGATATTTAAGTGAGATTTGTGTCTTTCCTCACTTGCTGCCTTCCCTGTTAAGCATACTTTGAGTGCTTACTGTGTCCTCAGTAGAGTGACCAGATTGTGGTACAATTATTTTAGCTCCCCTCTTTCCCTCTCAAAAGTGAAACTGTATGGCCACTTTACTTCTCATTCTTGTGTTTAGTTCATTGAAAGATACGGAGTAAAGTATTGGTCTTCCAAATACAGCTTACATGAGGTGGAGACTGCTGGAGACAAGGAAGGCTTCCTGGTGGAGGGGGCTCTGAAGCTAAAGGATCTACAGAATCTGTCCGATTTTATGTACAGCAGAGCTCAGGAGTGAGGGTGCCCCAGTTCAAGATCACAGAAGGAGCAAGCAGAAGTAGAAATGATCATAATATGAGATAAATACAGAAGAAGGAACAAAATTGATAGGGTTATGCCCTTGAGAGTTACAAGAAGTAGTAGCCAATGGGAAAGATTCAGAAAGACTTAATTAGGGATCTATCTGGGAGTGCCCAGAAAGATTCTGGCTCTCAGGACATCTAGTTCAGGAATGCCCCCCAGGGAGCCCTGCCAAACAGCCCAGCAGTCAGAGCGGTGCCCTTCCTCTAGGTTCCCCCAGCTCTGCCTCTCTCTCACTCTCAGCGGACTGAATGCTCCTGAACTGAGTGAATGAATCTCCTCCGCAGGCACTTGTTGAGGCCGTGAATGCCATCTCACAGCGCAGCCAGAACGCCCTGCTCCAGGCCATGCAGCGACTGAGACTCTCCATTCAGGAGATCACCAGAACCTTAGGACAAATGCACGGTATGAGGCTCCTGAAGAGTGAGGGCTCTGCTTGGGGCAAAGGGGCCTGGAAGTTTGGCAACGTCCACAAGATGGCGCGGGTGCATTAGCTTTGTTTTAAGGCACCCACTTGTTCGTGCTCCTGGAAAATGATCTCTCAGTTTGCAGGGATTTTCTTGTGGGTTTATCCTACTTTATATTCTCTTGTGATTTGGTGGCTTCTTCTTCTTGTTGGCCATGTATTTCTTTGCATGTCGAGGTCTTGCATGAAACTGGGGAGGGAGGGGTGAAGCACGCCACATTGGTTGTACATGCCTCTATCCAGCAACGTGAGGTTACTGCAGGGCAGAATTAGGGTATGAGGGAGTTTGGGCTTACACTCTCTAAAGCCTCTTTGATTCTTGTTCTCATGTGGGACCTGAGATGACTGACGTTGGCTTTGGGCCTTATCTGAGGGCCCTTCCTGTGCTCCTCCACTGTGGCTACTTTAGGGATGAGTTATCATAGGTGTGGCCAGTTAAATGCAGCCACCCCCCCTCCCCCCGCTTCCTGGGGTTGATTATATCTTATTTTGATGACTGCAGCTCTTCAACTTCCTCTATCAGAAGAATCTAGAAAATGTAACTAATGTGTGTTTAAGGAAGGTGTGGGAGAGGGGTGTGATCTGTTTAACAAGGGGTGAGGATCTAAGTATCAGTTCCCCTCAATCCTGCTGCACTGACGGAGGGAGTCCAGGAAAAGAGCGGTTTACGAGAAAGGACTGGAGGGAGGGTGGGAGCGAGGGAGGACATGGGGTGGTGCCCAGCTTTATGGCCTTCTATTAAAGGAGTAAATTTATTTGTCATCTCAGACTCTACACGAGTGGAAATCCATCTGAAATCACAGTGTTATGTATTATGGAAATAAGACATTTTCAACTTCTTGTTTTATATTTCAGATTCACATTTCCTCCATTTCCCTGAGTTTTAATTTTAAAGCCCTCCGGATCACATCAGGAGGTCTCCTGCCAAACAAGCTCTCCAACCTGGGTGATGTGGATTTTAGCCTTGCCGAGGGACCCTGAGTCTGTTACTCAGGACACCGAGACCAGGGAAGGCTCACTGCAGGTGCATTCAGATCATATGGATGAGCCAAAGCGAGTAGTCTGGAAGCTCTGGAGAGGCCCTCCCCCCATCACAGCCTGCAGCAGTGGGATGGCACAGCTGTCCCATCACAGGCTTTTCTTGTGCTCCTTGTCAGAGGCACTTCCTTCTTCAGCCCGGGCCAGCCCCAGGGCTCTCTTGACTATCACCTGTAGGAGGTTTGATGGCTAGGGGAGGTACCAGGGCCACTTCCCTTGTTTCCCCGAAAGGCAACTTTTCCCACACAGACATACTGTCTCTTAAAGGTTTTACCTGTGGTCACTGCGGTGAAATAGATGAGTGCATCATTGTGCATTTTCCATCGCGACTGTCATGTGCCTGCCGTCTGTGTCCTCGCTTGTGACGCTGGCAGGCTCGGGACATGCCTGTAATCAACAGCATGCAGGGGCGCCTGGGTGGCTCAGTTGGTTAAGCGACTGCCTTCGGCTCAGGTCATGATCCTGGAGTCCCTGGATCGAGTCCCGCATCGGGCTCCCTGCTCGGCGGGGGGTCTGCTTCTCCCTCTGATCCTCTTCCCTCTCGTGCTCTCTGTCTCTCATTCTCTCTCTCAAATAAATAAATAAAATCTTTAAAACAAAACAAAACAACAAAAAAACAGCATGCAGCAGAAGTGACCCCACATGAGCTGAGGCAAGGGTAGAGGAGGGAGGGGATGCGACTGCCACCTTGTATACGAAGTCACCACCCAAAAATGCCACTCACTCTGAGGCCATGGCTGTGAATGAGGGTGTCAGGCCACACAGGGGGGCCATATGTAGATGCTCCGGTTGGCACCTGACCCGGGAGCGAATGAGCCCTTGGTTTGATTCTAGGTTCCCAGCCTCAGATCATCCTCAGTCTTCAAGTCTTCCCACCTGAGGACCCAAACACTATCAGAAGAATCTAGAAAATGTAACTAATGTGTGTTTAAGGAAGGTGTGGGAGAGGGGTGTGATCTGTTTAACAAGGGGTGAGGATCTAAGCAGAGGAAAGCCATCCACTGTGTCCTGTCCAAATTTCTAACCCACAGAATCCATGAGCGTAACGTACTGGCTGCCTGACTTCGGAGTGGTTTGTAATGCAGCCAGAGTAAACAGAGAAATGAAATTACAAAAATAAGAAATACTAGAAACTGCAAGGTTTACGGAATCACACAGGTTTGTTTGTCACTGTGTCTGGTTTATGGTTAATGGCATTTTTTCCTGCGTGATCAGCCGAGCTCAGCTGCACTTCTTCCCTCTGCTTTCTCCCAGAAAATGGAGCTCACCCAAACATTCTTTCTTTCTGAGCTCAACTTTAGCAAGAGCGGTGGAGTCTCCTCCCTTCCTCCATACATACCTCATTGCCAGGCAGGACAGCCTGAAAACATGCCCGAGGCAGAGGAGAAGGTACTCTTCTTTGTAAGGCTGCAATTTGCTTTGCTGAGGAATCCCTTGCTGTCACTTGGCCTTGGCCTAGCCCACATGTGACTTCTACCTCACAGCCTTACATAATCCTCACCACGGACTGGAAAATAAAACCAGATGACTCCGTTTTCACAGCCTGAGTCTTCTTTTTTTTTTTTTTTTTTAAGATTTTATTTTTATTTTTGACAGAGAGAGAGAGTGTACAAGCAGGGGAAGCAGCAGGCAGAGGGAGAGGGAGAAGCAGGCTCCCTGGCTCAGCAGGCTCCCCAATGCGGGGCTCGATCCCAGGACCCTGGGATCATGACCTGAGCCAAAGGCAGCCGCTTAACTGTCTGAGCCACCCAGGCGCCCCCACAGCCTGACTCTTCTTAAGGCAGAAGTCCGCACCAGCAATACACTAATAGACAGTGCCCCACCTCACTGCATTGCTGGCTGCCAGTCAGCACTGGGCACCTGCGGGATCCCTGGCTGTGCCCCTCTTCTTCGTGATTTGCAGAGAACTTGACCTGGTCTGAGTGTTGTGCTCTGTTGGAAGGCTAAAATATGTTTGGATTTCCAAGCATCCAGATTACACTGGGATGTCTTTTGGCATGTTTCTCAATAGCTCTTGTTGTTGTTTTTTTCTTTTTTAAAATTTTATTTTATTGTTATGTTAATCACCATACATTACATCATTAGTTTTAGATGTAGTGTTCCATGATTCATTGTTTGTGTATGACACCCAGTGCTCCATGCAGAACGTGCCCTCTTTGATACCCAACACCAGGCTAACCCATCCCCCACACCCTCCTCTCTAGAACCCTCAGTTTGTTTCTCAGAGTCCATAGGCTCTCATGGTTCGTCTCCCCCTCCAATTTCCCCCCCTTCATTTTTCCCTTCCTACTATCTTTTTTTTTTTTAAACATATAATGTATTATTTGTTTCAGAGGTACAGGTCTGTGATTCAACAGTCTTCAATAGCTCTTGTTTTTGAGAATTAATTTCCTCCTTAGAAAAGCTGAGGGGTAAATTGCTCTCCAAAAAGCCGTGGACATTTTTACCTCGTATTTCCTTATGCATCAACACAATTTCTAGCTACTCCCTGACCGATTGGTAGCTGTAAGAATTTATCCTTTAATAGTAGAGCAAGGAGTCAAAAAGTTTCTTTCTAACAGTTTGGTATGTGTTTAAATCAGGTTTCTTAATCAGTGAATTGGTGCAAAATGGTAACGTCAACTTCAGCTACCGGCCCCATCTGATTGGCCCACTTAATTTTGTCTAAGGGCTTTTTTCCTAATTTGAGAACTTATTTTGTCTAAAACCAATTGGAAACAAAATTCTTGTTTTCATTTTCTTAATCTTAAATTGAAGCTTAAAAGTGGCGTGTAATTAGGACACTCTTAGATTTGTTGAAAGCATTTTTGACATCTATATAAAAGAATTTGTGATAAAGTTAGTATATCCAGGTGCTCACCAAAGAACCATTTAACAACTAAGTTTTGTTTTGTTTGTAACTGATCCATTTTCACCCATTTATAATCAGTAGGAAAGACTGTCTGGATGTTGGGGCAGCTCTATGCTTTGGGTCTGTAACCTGTAATAACTGAATTCAGTACCCTAGATTTATGTTTAGCTGTTAGGACTTTCTTGATGAAAGTTATTTTCCTTCCCTTCCCAGCCTACCGGTATTTCTCTTCATGACTTCTGGAGCATGAGCTCCCTGTGCTGTCTGAAGAAGGTATTACAGTTAGAACCATGTACTGGTGATAAAAGTCTTTGCTAGCAATAAAAGCAGTCCTTAACCTTTGAAAAAATAAAATAAAAAATAAAACCCATTGGAAAATAATTAACATGGAATTCTTCTCTACTGAATACCACAGGATTATACGACCACATTCATATCTCTAAAGATACCTTCTCTCGTGGATTAGTTACACACGGTAATCTGGTTATACCCTGGTCACATGAGCCATCGTATTTTATCTTAAATCCAATTTTATTATGTCAGTGCATCAAATCCAGAAGGATGCCCACACAAAACCAGTTCTCCAAATATTGAAGAGTCCCATTAAGTCTTCACAGAAGATGTTTTTAGGCATACAAAGAAGAATATACATTGCATGTCACACATCAAAAATATCCAGAAATCTACAATGATTATTATTGTTGCATATGGTTAAGATTCACTCAGATTTGCTTACATATTTATAACCTATTTTTTTTGCCCTTCATTCCATTACACACATTTCTTTTGCCACTAGGATTTCCTCTAGTGAGGGCCTGGGGCTGGCAAACTCTCTCATCTGCAAATTGCCCTGTTTCACTCCCATTCCTGAAGAATATTTTTGCTAGCAACTATATTCTCTTAGATGCTGAGTAGATCACTACAATATCTTTCGGTTTCCACTGTCACTATTGAGAAGTTAGATGTCAGTCTCTTACTTGTTTGGGGGCAACCCATCTTTTCCCCGTCTGCTTGTGAGTTTCTCCTTATAGGTCTGTCTTTCCCGTTGTTCCATTTATTACGCGTGGGCTTCCTTATGCTTCTTTAGTTCATATGCCTCGTTGTTCTGGAAAGTCCTCATCCATTAAATCCTTGCAGGTTACACCTCACTGTCCCCTGTCTTCCTACTGCAGCTGTGATTGAAGAGATTAGATCTTGCTCTGCTGTCCTCCATTCTTAAAGCCTTGCTGTTTTTTCCCATCTCTTTATTTCTTTGTGCTGCATTCTGGATTAATTCTTCTGATCTAATTAATTAATTCTCAACTGCTTCCAACCTGCTCCTAAATACACACATCCAATAGGTTATTGTCTCATTTCCAAAAGTTGTATTTTATTATTTTCTAACCTGTTCATATTTTACAACATTCTGTTCCTTGTAGATGTTTTCAAGTTTGCTTTTGGTTTTCTTCAACATACTATGTGTGGCTGTTTCATAATTTGTGTGTGATGATTCTAATATTGGAAACTTGATTCTGTTTCCTTCTTGTTATTTCTTCTTTCCTACTGGTTCTCATTGCTGGTTGTCATGTTTTCTTGTGTCTATGCTTGCTTTTGTTGCTTCCCCCCCCCCCCCCCCCCCCAGGTATTGCTCATTGTCTTTGAAACCCTGTCTGTAGGTAGTCTTTTGGAACTGGGGTAAAGAAATATTTGTATTCAGTTCTTCCTGGTTCTTGGGACATTAAAATTCTGTCCCATCTTGAATCAAGTTCAGCAAGTGAGGGCACATGTATCAATCAGGCAATTAAACTTGGGCTGAAAATGTGCAAAAAAAGAAGTCACAACTTCCAGGGACAGATTTTTTTTTTTTTTTTGGTCTTCCTGTTTTGCTCAATGCCAAGGTAGCCCTGATTTTGTCTTCTAGGGCAAGCAGTGGTGGGGTGGGAGCCCTGATGCACACTGATGTTGAGATATAGGCAGCTGAGACCCCCAGATTAATATGAACAGGGTATCCTGTAAAATGCCTCACCATGGCTGGGACCAGGGTCTTATGGCACGGACCATACAGAGAAGCCACCAAAACCAAGCCCAGGTGTACCTGGATTGGCAAATGCCTTCAGGGAAAAGTGGTTTTGCCACTCTAATTTTCCACCTCCCTTTCTAGGGGTTCCTGCTTTCCCTTAAATTTTTGCTTAGCGGTTCCTTGCTATTTCTTCAGCTTTGATGCCTTTAAGATGTTTGCATCTCTTATCCCTCTTTTTGGATTGTTTTTAGTGGAAGGATGGGTCCAAGTGAAGTAGCACTCCATTACCCCAAATGGAAGACTCTTTCTGGAGTGTCATTTGCATCCCTTCCTTTCTCTCTGTTTCCATCACTTGCTCTGGACCTGGCTCTCCTCATCACTTGCCAGAACTCTGCAGTGACCTTCCACATCCCGTCTTTCATCTGCCCTTTACCTAGTCTAATTCATTCTTTACACAGAAGCCGGAAGTGCAAGCTGAATCACTCTTACTCCTAAAACTCTTCAGTTTCTCTCCTGGCACGGTGCAGGAAGGTAGCCTCCAGCTCCATGTGGCTACTGAACACTTGAAATACGACCAGTGTGAGTGGAAAACTAAATTTTAATCATATTTCATTTTAAACAATTGAAATTGACATTTAAAAATGGAATCAATGTAAAATGGTTTTTTGTTAAACATAGCTTTATTACTAATGGTCATATTTCACTTAATTGTTGAAAATTAAGCATCCTAGTTGAAATGCAGTATAAGTTTAAAATATTTTTTTTTTACGATTTTATTTATCTATTTGAGAGAGAGAGAGAGAGAAGGGGGTGGAGCAGAGGGAGAGGGACAAGCAGACTCTGCACTGAGCAGGGGACCTGATGCAGGGCTCAATCTCACGACCCTGAGATCATTACCTGAGGTGAAATCAAGAGTTGTTGGCTTAACTGACTGAGCCACCCAGGCGCCCCAAGTATAAAATTTTAAGTCTGTAAGCATATACAGAAAATTTCAAAAACTTATTACAAAAAACATATTAACAATTTCTATATTGATTATCTTTTAAAATTAAAATATTTTGGATATTTTGTGTTAACTAAAATATAGTATTGGTATTAATTTTGCCAACTTTTTTTTTTTTTACCTTTTGAAATATGACTACTAGAAAATTTTAAATTACATATGCCTGTCACATTACATTCTTATTGCTGGCACTCTTTCATCCATTATTCTAAGGGTAAGGACAAAATCCTTAATCCATTCTGTATGATCTAACCCCAGAATATTTTAATTTCAATTTCTTTATTTGACACCATGTTTCCCTTCACTTGTTCTTTCTGATACTAGCTTTTAGTTCCTGAAAATACTTTTATCATGAGCACACTCGAGTTGTGTCTTTCCACAGGGTCAGCTTTATTCAGTCCTAAAGCAAAGTTAAATCACAATTAGAAAGCAGGTTCGGGATTCCAGGCTCGGTTCACCATGTGATTAAACCTGGCTTCTTACACAGCACCCAGAGCAGGAGAGAAGACAAGCCACACACCGAACAAGGTAACAGAAGGTGCAGGAAGTGAACGAACCAAACTCAGTCAGGCTGTGGGCGTGTGGTTGAGCCAAGGCCTCGGCCTGGTCCGGGTCAGCTCTCCGCACTCGGCTTCTGGTGTTCTGGCGGCGAAGACCTCGGTTCTGCTCGGAGACCCCGGGGATCAGCGGGGCAGAGCCTTCCGTGGCCATTGCCTTTCTCGAGTGGCGAGACCGAGGGGCCAGGTCTGAAGAGTCCGCCAGTTCGCTGCCCAAATCCTTCCCTTCTTAAAGGGATTTACTCCGTTTGGGGTCTCTGCAGACCTCCTCTGGTTCTTCGTGATCAGTTGTGGGGTGTCGGCTGACGTGGGTCCGGGCGATACCTCGTAGCTGCCGGACCT